AATCAGCAGATTACAGTTTCACCCACTGTGCAAAACATCAAATTTGAAATGTAATGCAGGGAATTCTGGGAATGTCAATTTACGGTTATTCACTGTAAATTGTGAAAAACATATTTTTCCCTTCCAAAAACGGTAAACTACTGTAAAATTAATGTCCAATACATGTAATGTCCAATACAGTTTTTCACTGTATATATTAGGGGAATTTACCGTTAACCATTTAACAGGTTTTTACTGTAGCATTTTTACAGTCTTTTACCGTTAAATTCACGGTCATTTTTTACAGTGTAGGAAAAACCAAGGAATTAGTAATTACGCATAGTAGGCAGGGGATTTCAGTCAAGAATGTAATGATAGATAGTCATCCTGTTGAGATTGTTGATCACTTTAACTACCTTGGTACACTAATTGATAGTAAGCGGAGTTTCCAGGATAATACTAAATATATTTTTAAGAAATGTATGCAACGTCTGTTTTTAATACAGAAGCTTAGAAGTTTTGGTGTGAGCCAGAACATTCTGGAGATCGTTTACATGTCCTTGGTGGAAAGTGTGCTGACCTATAATATAACATCCTGGTATGGGCACTTGAACTGTAAACAGAAAAATACATTAACTAGAGTCATCAATATAGCGAGCAAGGTCATTGGTAAGCCACAGAGAACATTGAACCAGGTGTACATTTTAAGATGTGTTGGGAAAGCTAAATGCATTCTGAAAGATGCTATTCATCCTTTAAATGATCAGTTTGTCTTTTATTTGTTATTTAATGCCCAGGGCAGAGAGAATCATCTATAAGAATTCATTTATACCTGCAGTAATTGGATATCTGAATCAAAACACTAAGGTGGAACGATCTGATACGTCTTTTTGAAATTCGTGTGGTTTTAATGTTATGTATGTCTCATGTCAATGGTGTGGTCAAATATAATTTTCAACCATTGGGGTTGACAATAAAGTTGTATTATTATTATTATTACATTAAATTTATCCTTTTGTGATACATGGAAAAAATTGTCATGGGGTATGGAACGGCACGAGAGTAAATAACTTATGGCATATACTGTATATATAGAGAAAGAGCTGGGCGATAAAACGATAACGATAATTATATTAATAACTATTAATGATAAATATATATTCAATTTTGGGCAAACTGTCCCTTTGACGCATAGTTTTTAAAGTTGCTGCAGCTGCAAGCAGGAGTGTCACTGAGCTATAACTAACAACAAGCAAAACCATGTGTGTCCACCATGTAATGTCACTTCTTTCTGATTATGACAGAAATGAAGGATGAGAGAGACCCTGCAAACCAGGAGAAGCTTGCACTGTCACTGCAGACAGATATCTGAAACATGAGACCTGCTTTGGGTAAAGCATTGTGTCAGCTGAACTGCTTGGCAGTGAGAGGACACGGACACATTGACACAACACGCACGAATGGACGCACACTGATCCATGAACACACACGTATATATTATATAAGAATGAAAGGCTTTAGGGCATAAAGTTATTCCTGAGAATAACAACTAAGAAAATGAATGAAAAAAAAACGACTGATGAAAAGAACAACAAAGTGATGAAGTGCTGTATAATTTTTTGGCATAGAAAGAGACTGCTGAAAAACAAATATGAACTGAAATAACTACTTGATAAATCATTTGTGCATCTAATATGCATATAATTTGCACAAAACATAGCATACTTTACAGACTACAAATTAACTTGATTACGAAATAACAAATGTCCATTCTGTTGACTTTGTCAGCACTCTAGCAAAACAGCTCAAATGTAATCCTTAAACACAAACAAAGGTTGTTTTGTTGAAATGCAATGAAAGAGGGAAAAGCAATCCGGTTAGGTTTACTGGATATTGCATTCTTTAAGGGGAAAAATATGTATTTGTGCAATAATGGACATAATCTGCTCCTGGTACAGACCAGTATATTTTAGACTCACTGGATTATACACTGATTTGAGACTAGCTGTACCACAGAGCCCAGAGCTAATACCAGTCATTTTTCATGAATGTAAACCTAACTTAAATAGAGAGTACAATAACTAATACTTTCTATTTTGGTAGCACTAATTACTCTACTTTGCCTTGGGATATTTTAAAAGAATATTTCTGAAGCATTAATGATATTTACATATATTTAAACCCTCAAAAACGTCATATCTGCAGCAATATTGTTAGACTGTCTAAAGAAACGACTAAATAACGCAATGAATAACTTCCAAATACATATCCCGTCCGCACCAGTGCAGGTGAGCCCGTTGTTTACATACCAGAGCGAAGAGAAGCTTCCGAACACTGCTCAGCGTTTCTTCTGCATTCTTACAACTGAACACTTTTGCTTATCTTGAAACAGTGCTCCCGTTTTGAATGCTTCGCGTAAACAGCCAGTCCCGGGGTAACTTTACCATGCTGCTCTGTATATGCGTATGGAGGGGTTGCTGCTTACGCCATGACGCACTACGGCAGGTGTGCAGCAGAGGTCTATCAGCTTCAGTTCCGAATAGCGCACTACTTCGTACTTACTATTTAAATTTAAAATAACCACATGTATTATTATTATATGGTATATATTTATATGTGGTATGTATAAATATAAATTAGATTTAAAAATAGCATTTTTTAACAAAATTGTTAATACAGCTTAATACTGTACATCCTACACAAAATTTAAGAATTTAGAAATCAGAAAAGAAAGTTATATCAAAACTTTAGTTAACTCAAATGACAAATGCCTTCAAGATTAAAGCGACATCTGCTGGTTATTTTCTAAAGTACAAATATCTGTGAATTAGAAGATATACAATAAACAATAGTCCTACACATAGGGTAGACCGCCTTCATTTTACTTTAGTGAATGAGAGTGGGTTTGTTTAGAAAGACTATTACTGTATAGACGTATCTTAAGGTCTACAGAAAAGCTATTGATCATTTCCAAAGTTATTGTGCAGGATAGTTTGTTTTAAACACACATTAACCTTCTGTGGGTAGGATAGGCACATATAACAACCCAACAACCCAAGACTTTGACTGTTTTAGTTCATTTCTCGGAGACTATACATGACAGTTTTAAGTCTGGATGTGCACATTCAGGGCTTTTTAGAGATATCAAATGTTTGGAGGTTTGATCATAAACACACCTTTAAAAATGACGGATATTGACAGAATGATCAAATTCAGCACTCTTAGGGAGATATGATCATATTTTGTAATTCTTTAAATCTGGTTCATTTTCAAATCGTTTGTCGTAAATAAACATCTCAGGAAAATGTTATGGGGTTTCAAATCGGAATATGACTTGGTTACGAAACAAGGCATAACATTCATATGTCTTTTGTAGAGGACACAAGGACAAACGGCATGTTAATCAGGCATTTTGAGGAGACACAAGTTAATAGGGACAGAGATGATATATCAATATTCCTATGAAATATGAGATTTTTTAATGAAAATGTTGCCACGTTATTACTCCCATTATAACACTTATTTTTTTCCATTATGGTTTGCACCAAGAACACATTAATATGCAAATTAGATGCAGTGTATAGATACATTGAATAAAAAAGGAATATTAATTTATGGAAATTTTACGCACATATTGCATAAAGTAAAATAGTACATCAAATCATTCTGTTTTATCTTTAATAACATAGTTGAGAATCATCTTTTTACAAAGTTTGGTTAAAAATAGCCTGAAACATAAAAACTGATTGGTGAATAAAAAATAGAAACCATTGTTTTTGCCTATACATGCCTTTTCATGTCAGTTTATTTTTTTGAATAAAATTTGAAGATATCAAACATTTCTTTAAAAATATAGTCACACAACATACACCATGTTTTCAAAAGAAGTCACAAAACCATCAGTCTTCAAGTATCATTTTATTAGGCAGTTGTATTTACAAATAATCTTTTCAACTAAATTATTGGTAATTATCTGTAAATTTACATTGGCAAGCCTCCATGAGGTGCATCTCTGCAAAAATAATCAACATAAATGCAGTTAAGAGAAGAACATAAACATATTCTCTAAACCTGTTTTCGATGGCTGACTAAACAGCCTGTGGAGACACTGAAATTGTTCCATAGTGATAAAGAAGAGTTAACATTTGAATTAGACAACTACACGGGGAAATAAACTCTGGAAAAAAAGAAAGGTAAAGGGGACAGAGCAAAACGAAATTTCTCTGGATTTGTCTTAAGCTGACTTGCAAAGCATAGATTGTCAAGTTTTAGCTCTAAATGAGTGCAGTTTAGAACAAAATCAATATCATCCTTTTTAGGAAACTAAACCTTAACATGTAACAAAGACTAAAGAACTCCAAAAGGTCAAATCAGAATTACTGGCCTTAAATCTCCATTTCTTTTTGAGAATTTGAAACTACTGCATTTATCAGGACTAATAAAGTTATTTATTTTATGCGGTAAGAATGTGCGTTAAGACATTCAGACGTTAAAATGTAAATATGCTATGCCATACAAACCATAGAATGAATTTATTACTTTAAACTATTTATTTTAGCTTTTTTTAGCATTGAATTTGGGATTTAATTGGAACATAGCTGGAGCTCTGGACAGGCAAATGAACAAGATCAACTGATTTAAAACCCATATTGTTTTCATTTTCATCTGTGAAACACAAGTTGAAAAATCTGATCTGAAGAAGAGGATCACTCCTGTCAGTAAGCTCCTATATCAAATAATTTCACTCCGTGTTAACAGGTTGTTGTTCTTTTCTTTGTGGACTTTTGTAGAATTTCGTTTACTACAGTCTCATACAAAGGCACAAAGTCACATGCAAGTAAGGAAGCACTTTCCTATTTTCAGATCTTACGATTATGACTCCACATTGGCTTTGCAAACACAGGAATAAGACATGACTACATGATTTGCTCAAAAATCTATCAGTATGCGCCAATATTTCAACTCCGTTATCTTTTTTTTGATAAACTGATAAACTTTACTTGACACCTCAGATGTTTTTTGTTTTCACAGATACACATCTCAAAAAACAAAAACAAAAAAATCTAAATTCCGTTTTAATACTGGGCCTGTCTGATTACAGAAACTTAATTTGTAAAAGTGGAGGGAATACAGAAACATTTGATTTCTTTCTTTAAGGAGTACTTGTTTTTTACTCCAAAAAAAACTAAAATAATAGTAAAAAAAAAGAAGACGTTTTTGATAAAGCAGTGTATGGAATAAAACATCTTACAGCAATATAATCAAACATTTCTTTAAAAAAAATTCAGTCCAATATCACAATTTTAATACAATCTACAACCCCATTTAAAGCACTGATAAATATAAATCCAAATGCATGTTTAAATTCTGCATACTTAAATTTATGTAAAATGTGAGAAAATAGAAAAAAAGACTAAGGTGTGACAAACAAACAAACAAAAATCTATGAAACGGAGGCAAGGACATTGCACTCCCTCAGGATAAACGGGTTTCATATTGGTCTCTTCCTTATGAAAGGCTGACGTATCAAGTTGTCCCTTTGTGTTAAAGTGCCCACCATATTAAATTGGCCCTCCTTTTTAAGATGGCTCCTCCTAATCGAGTGCTCTTCCCAGTAGGCAGCTTCAATGGGATAACCAGTTCTGACACTGGCCCACAAAAACTTACAGGTAAAACTGTGCAAAAGCGCTTTCTATCTTACTTGTCGTCCCACATGCCTCATAAGGGCTCTTTCTTTATTCATTTCTTGATCTGCCAAGAATCGCAACAGCATTGTGTACAATACAGCTAGCTCAGTGTATAACTCATTTAAATGCACCTCTACACCTCACTCTCTGCAAGGAAATCCTTGCCATAAAACCCAGAAAAGAATTGTAAAGGCTCATCCTGGTGACTGTAGTGCCACAGACCATTCAGCTTGTTCAGGCGAGTGGGATGCATGGAGTCTTGAGTCCGTCCGCATGCTTATTGCTCTAGACACTGAGAGAGAGAGAGACAAAAAAAATAGAGATAGAAGGACTGCTGTGCATGATGACACAGATATCAGAGGATGAAGAGGTAGACAGTATTCTAGAAGAAAGAGAAAACAAGCCAGAGAGTGAAAGAGAAGGCATCAGAGGAACCACAAGTTATCGTGCTAGCAGCTTGATGAGGTTGGCGCACATCTCAAAGAACTCTATGGTGTGACTTCCAGGGCGGGGGAGGATCTCTCCCCCTGTGGAATCCACTGAGGAGGTAAGAGAAGAAGCCAGAGAGCCTTCCGCCGCTTTCCCTCCAGATATTGGAGGCGTGGAGGGTGCGGACGTGTCACCCTTTGCTGCATCCTCACATTCGTTTTTCTCGTTCCTATCGTTCTTTAGGGTAGTCCGGTAGTTACCAACTGAGCCGGAGCGGTGAGGTGTGGCGGTCCCTGATTTTACTTCTATCATGTCATCTGAATGAAACAGAATATAAGACCTCAGAGAGTGAAGTATACAGAAAACACTCTCAAGAACACTCCGCATTAGGAATGAGAATCATAGGGAACTAAATAATTTCATTTATGATTCCTTTTCTGGAATGATTTTAGTTCATTTTAGTACATTTGATAAAACAATATTTGAGATTTTAGCAGAAATTATATAACAATTGGTAACACTTTATTTTAAGGATAAATTCTAACTATTAATTAGTTGCTTTTTAGCATGCATATTACTAGCATGTTGACTGTTTATTAGTACCCACAAAGCACACATTCATGCCTTATTCTGCATGACCACATTCTATATGCCTTAATCCTACCATATATAAACTTTTATAAAAAACCATTGATTACAAAACTCAATGTGTATTTGTACATGTTGTCAAATGAACAACTACACCATCACAGTCTCTCAAGACTTAAGTAATGAATAACATAGCAACAGTTTGGACATCCTGAAAATTATATTTGCATTCAGTTCAACAGTCAGATTTCTTCAGTAACCACTCTGTGCAGTTCATATTCTCATATGTTTGATTATGTATACATTTTTATATTTTTAAATTACTTATTATAAATTAAAGCATTAAAGAAAAAAAAACCATTTAAAAGCATTGAATAAAACCACACACAGAGTGACAATTTTACCGTCTATGCTCCTGAAGTCTAGTAAATAGGTCCTGCTGTCCACCTGGTAGAGCTGGAGGCTCATCTTTGTATGTACTCCAGTGACTGGGTTTTTCCTCCGCACTCGCAAGTAATAAGGATTAACTACCTATCAAACCACAGAGAAAAAAAGTCAGCAGAGTAAACAAATATGACTGTAATGGATATAAAGTTCATTAATATTTAGCAAGCCTTTTAACTCTAAAAGGGACTGTGCCGACTGGTACATTGCACTGTAACACTGTTTGCATTCTTTTGAGGGTGTCCGAGTAGCGTACTCTTGAACAGCAGTAAACACAATTCTACTTGGTAAGAGAGGACGCTATAAGACCGAATGAAAACTATTATAAACAAAGACATGTAGGCCATTTCCGTCTAAAACTAATGACTCACTCAGTCAAGCATACATGAACTTCAGCCAGATGAATTAAGACATTGTGGGACAACAGGTCTTCGCAGGCAAAAATGGGTTCACAAAACACCCCCCCCAGTGATGACAATACTTGCAGAGGTGTTAAAGTGTAATGTGATGGTTTAGTTACAGTGCTCAAGAGGTGAAACAGTCCCAGTAGAAAAACAACCAAAGCTATATACAAAGTAGTGTTGTCACGGTACCAAAATGTCAGTATTCGGTACCAATACCAGTGAAAATCCACGGTTCTCGGTAGCAATTTTGGTACCAAAGCAAAACACAAAAACATGCTAATTAAAAATGTGACTATACTTTCATTTAATCCAAACTGTGTACATATTTAATTTTAAAAGGGCTTTTGAAAACCTTCTAGAGTTATTTATCCAAAAAAAATATTTTTTATTAGTGTAAAAAACAGGAGGACATAATGGTTATTTATTAATTTTACACACCAGAGGCTTTTGAATGAACAATGTATCCAAAATATGCGTGTTAGAGAATGTACAAATGTATGGTTAACAGTGTTATTGTCATATCAGTCCGTCAGAAAAACAGTTCTGGGCTTTTTTTTAGTTAGTTAGTTGTTATTCTTGGATTAATAACTCTAACAGGTTTGAAAAGCCCTTTAAAATTAAATATGAACAAAGTTTGAATTAAACAAAAGTACAGTAAAATTTTATCTCCTGTATAGATTTTACAATGACTTCATGTTATCTAACGTGTTATATCTAGTAACATCTTACAGTGAGTGAACAATATATTTTTACAACATTCATTGATGTTTGTGAATGTTATTTAATACAAACACTTTATCATTCAAGGTTGTTCATTGTGCATTAAATAATTAACCCTAAGAAGAATTGCTATATAACTATTGTTTATTGTTAGGTCATGTTATCTAACAAATGTAATCTTATTGTAAAGTGTTTTTAATACTAGTTTCCATCTATTTGATAAAATTTTATCTCCTGTATAGATTTTACAATGACTTCATGTTATCTAACGTGTTATATCTAGTAACATCTTACAGTGAGTGAACAATATATTTTTACAACATTCATTGATGTTTGTGAATGTTATTTAATACAAACACTTTATCATTCAAGGTTGTTCATTGTGCATTAAATAATTAACCCTAAGAAGAATTGCTATATAACTATTGTTTATTGTTAGGTCATGTTATCTAACAAATGTAATCTTATTGTAAAGTGTTTTTAATACTAGTTTCCATCTATTTGATATACACTTAATATATGTAATCTTATCTAAATTTATTATAAAAGCTGAGGTTTGTTATTTACTGAAAAGTTATATTTTAGCTGGTGTCAATGATCTAATGTTGCATTTGGTCAGACTCAGCCCATTGCTTTACTTAAGCATATTATATTTTCCTCTTACAGCTGCAGACTGAGGAAGATCCTGAAACACAGCAGCAAACCCTAAAACAGACAAAAGTTTACAGTTGTTTTTCAGTGGCAGCAGAAATATGACAAACACTTTTGGGTGAAACTTGTTTACTTTTTTCATACTTTTATTACTTGTATAAATCCTTGAAACAATTTTAAATACGTATACAGAATGGCATTGGTTTTGTACATTTCATTTTTGATTTACGTTATTAATAAAAATAATGTTGTTCAGTTAGCATGTTTTTGTGTTTTGCTTTGGTACCGAAATTGGTAACGAGAACCGTGGATTTTCACTGGTATTGGTACCGAATACTGAAATTTTGGTACCGTGACAACACTAACCTAACACTAACAGTAGCATCCCAACAGTAAAGTGTGGTAGTAGCAGCCTCATGCTGTGGGGCTGTTTTTCAGCGGCAGGGACTGAGGGACTCGTCAGAGTCAGAGAAAAGCTCAATGCACCAAAATATACAGATAGCCTTAATGAAAACCTAGTCCAGAACATTCAGAACCTCCGACTGGGCAGAAGGTTCTCCTTCCAACAGGACAATGACCCTAAGCACACAGCAAGAGTGGCTTATAGACAACTCTGTGAATGTCCTTGAGTGGCCCAGCCACAGCCTGAGCTTAAACCCAATCGAATATTTCTGGAGGAACCTGAAAATGTACATCTGCTCCATCCAACCTGACAAAGCTTGAGAGGTGAAGAGGTGAGGACAAGAATGGCAGATAATTGCCAAATTCAGATGTGCAAAGCTTGTCGCATCATACCAAAAAGACTTGAGACTGTAAAGGTGCTTCAACTAAGTACTGAGTTAAGGGTATGAATACTTATGCCATGTACATATTTCAGTGTTTGAATTTTAATAAATTAGCAAATTTGTCACAAACCTGTTTTTTGCTTTGCCCATTATGGTGTATGGAGTGTAGATTGATGTGGGAAAAAAATTTATTTAAAGCAGTTTAACATAAGGCTACAACATAAAACGTGAAAAAATGAAGGGGTATGAATACTTTTTATAGGCACTGTAAATGAATATATACAGAACTAAGCATATTCCAATAACATCACAACATTTCATAATTCCACTTCACGACTTTTATCGCAACTATATATATATATATATATATATA